GTTCCCCGGCTGGAGCCCAGCTGCGCCCCTCCCCCCCTGGCCCCAGCGCCCCCCTTGAGGGGAATTTGGGGAGGTGGGAGGGGGGAGCGCCAAGGCCGGGCCCCCCCGCGCTGTGGTGGCGGGAGCGGCTGCAGTGGGGAGCGAGTGCGGGCGGAAGCGGCCGAGAGCCCAGCGCTGCCCCAGGCCGAGCTGGCCCAGCTCCATCCGTGCCCCTGCGGTGGGATGCTGTGGGACTGGGGGGGGGAAGAGGGAGCCGGCAGTGGGTGCTGGGCCTGGGGGCAGGAGGAGAAGGGAAGGAGAAGTAGGGTTGAAGAACCTTCAAAACGGTCAATCGATGCCCGGCCATGGGAGGAGAAGGTGGGATTGCACAGGAGGAATAGTAGGAGGAAGAGGAATGTGAGGAAGAGTAGGGACACAGGAAAAGAAGAGGAGCAGCACAAACAGGAAGCACCGCAAGGTTCCACTCCTCCCTGCATCTGCAGCCTCCCCCCCTCTGTTGCCCCCTGCCCCCCCCGCAGCTTCACCCCTCCAGGCAGCAGGTGGCAGAAGAGGAGGATCCACGATTTTCAACGGGGCTGAATATTGGTGTTGCTGAGCTTTATTGAGCTAAATGTTGGTGCTTTGATTTTTTTTTGCGGGGCTGAATCTTTATATTTTGGAGGGGGATTGGATAACTCTTTATGTTTGGGGAGTTTTTGATTTGTGTCTTGACATTTGGAGGGGTTTTGGGCTGAATCCTTATAGACACAAGATGTTCTTATAGACACAAGATGCTCATTGACTTGCTGAGATGACCTTGGGCAAGGAGTAACCCTTAGCCCAAGACAATATTCTCTTGTTTTTTTCCCCAAACCAGGATTTTTCATTCCCAAGGCATACCAGGATGGAGGAAGAGGAAAAGCCCTGGAAATTCTGCACAAGGAGGGACTGCAAACCCAGCCCAGGGAGCTGTGTGGAGGAAAGACCCACCTTGTGATGGGAAGGTGGACAGATATCGAGCTGGAGGAGAAGCTACACAAGTGCCTGGAATGTGGGAAGGGTTTCAGCTAGATCTCCAACCTGATCTGGAACCAGGAAACCCACTCTGTAGGAAAGTCCTACGAGTGTGGGGAATGTGGGATGAACCTCAGGAACATCCCTACTCTGTCTGAACATCAGGTGATCCATGCTGGGGAACAGCCCTACATCTGCTTGGAATGTCAGAAGAGATCTGGGTGGACCTCTGCCCTGAGAAAACACCAGCACATCCACAATGGGGAGAGGCCCCACGAGTGCCCCGAGTGTGGGAAGAGCTTCGTGCGCTGCTCCAGCTCCATCCCCCATGGAAGGATCCATGTTGGATGATCCCCAGGGATCCCTGTTGGGCAGAGCCCTGGGGATTCCTGTTCCAGGTGACCCCTATTGGGTTTAGAGAAGGTGTTAGAGAGATTTCTTGTCCGTGTCCTGCTGTGATTTGATTGGTAATAAATTCCCTTCCTGTGCCCAGGCTGGGTCTGTTGTGCCCCTGCCGGTGCTCGGGGCGGGATCTCTCCCGGTCCTTCTCCTCAGCCAATCAGAGAAGGCACTCAAATAATTGAGCCAATCAGCGCGCAGCATACTGATGACTCCCCAGTTGCCAGGCTGTCCCACAGCCCCCAGAGCTCCCCAGCTGGACTCCAACCCGCCCCGCCCTCGCCGCCAGCGCCGCCCGCCAGGGGAATTTGGGGAGGGGGGAGGTGTCAGAACCTGTCCGGCGCTGGGCATGGGGCGTGTGGCAGCAGCTGGGGCCCTACTGCTGGCACTGGGAGCCTCCTCGGCTGCGGACGCGGAGCTCCCGGGTGAGCGGGAGGGGTGGAAAGAGAAGTGGCGGCATGGTGGGAACAGTGGGGAAAGACAGGGAAATGAGGTGGGGGGACCCCCAAACAAATGTTCTGGGAGTGGTGGGCTGGCTACCGGGAAGTTATGGGAAAGGGGGAGGAAAATAGGAACTGGAACCGTGGGAAGAAGGGTCCCATGGCGGCCGTGGGGCACTGAGGGTGCAGAGTTGGGGTTGCCCCGGAGCTCTTGACTACTGGGGGATGCTGGGGGAATATCCCCGGACCTGTGTCTATAGGTGTGTTCTAGGAGATGGGTAAGTCTGAGTGTCACTTCATTAAGTGCACCGACCATACAAAGTTCATGAGAGGAACATCTACACCTAGGAGCAGCTCCTGCATTTTGACAGCGACGTGGGGTTGTTTGTGGGGGACGCCTTCTTTGGGAAGAAGGTTGCCAGGTACTGCAACAGCAACCTGAAATGTATGGAGCACAGACAGGCTGCAGTGGACAGGCACTGCCGACACAACTACAAATTATCCACCCTGTTCCTCGTGGAGCGCAGAGGTGAGCGTGGAACGCAGAGGTGAGTGTGGGGCAGAGTGTGTGCCCTCAGACCCTGCCCTGGGAATGACCCTGGAGCCACTCAAGACCTCCCTGGGAATCATCCCAGAGCCCTCAGCCCACCTTGTGTCCATCCCCGTGGCCTCCTGCCCCCTCACCCCAACTGATTCTGGTAGCTCTGCTAGTCCATCCCAGTCTCTCCCACTGCTCCCCCACGTTTCCATCTCAGCCCTCCCAGTCCCTCTGAGAGTCCCTCCCAATTCCTCTCAGTCCACAGCCATTCTATTCTCAGTCCACTCCCAGTCCTTCTAACTCCACTCACAGACCTCTGCCCTCTCCTCCAGTGCCCCTCCAAATCTCTCCCCACTCTCCCAGTGCACCCCCAGTCCCTCCCAAATTCTTTCAAGTCCAATCCCAGACCTCCCCCTCTCTCCCATTGCCCCAATCCACTTCACTCTCTCCCAGTGTTCCCCACTCTCTCCAGCTTCATTCCCAGCCCCTCCCAGTGCCATACCAGGCCTCTCCCATCTCTCCCAGTGTCCCCAAGCTGATCCCAGTGTGTCCCACTCTCTCCCAGTGCCCCCAGCATGTCCATCTCCCTGGTGCCCTTGAACTCCCAGCCCAGCCCAGCTGCCTCCTCTGGATTTCTATCCTGCCAAGTTCCAACTGAGCTGCTCCCAGGGCCAGCAGCAGCTCTCAGGACACGTGCTGGCCACTGCCGTGGTCTCCAACGGGGACTGGACCCAGCAGCTCCCGGTGCTGCTGGAAACTGCCCCCTGGCACGGGCTCAGCTCCAGCTGCCAGGTGGAGCATGTCAGCCTGGAGCACCCCTTGAGCCGGCACTGGGGCACGGCCCGGCCCCCACAGCGCCGGGGGCAGCAGGGGAGGCACTGGGGGGAACGGGAGGGGGATTGGGATGTAGTGGGAGTAACTAGAAGGCAACAAGATGTTAATGTGTATCGGGGACTTCATCTTTCTGGTGGTGGGACTTCAGAAGAAGCTCAGAAGTGTCAGAAGCAGCTTAGAAGCTCGGCTTCTGCTTGCACAAGAAGGTGAGGGGGGGTCCCGGGGGTCGTCCCCCCCTCCCCTGGAGGGTGTGTGCTCCCCATGGAGACCACAGCCCAGTGTCACCCCTTTTTCTCTGCTCACAAAGCTCCTCAGCTGGCAGCGGCTACAGCCCCTCCCTGTGACCTCGGGCCTGGCTGGGACCACATGCTTCATCCCAATGAGTTTGGGGGAGGTTGTCTGTCCCTCCCATTCCTGCTGTTATTCTGTCCCTGTCTGGCTGCTCCCAATGTTCTACATAAAGTTTCCCAGTTTGCCCCGATCCCGTTTATGTGGGACAGTGGGGAGGGACTTCGGGTTATCCAGCAAAGGTCTGTGATTGGGCAGGGAGAGAGGGGTTGGGAAGTGAACGCTCGGTGCTGCGGCTCGGCCCGGCAGCTGGTGTGTCATCAGATCTGCTGTCTCTGATTGGCTGAATCTTGTTCACTGCATTCCCTTGACTGGCTGACGAGAGGCCCGAGAGTTGAGAGAAGGACCAGGAGAGATCCTACCCTGAGCACTGGCATGGCCACAACAGACCCAGCCTGGGCACAGGGAGCGAATTTATTACCAAACAAATCACAGCAGCAGAAGGAGAAGGGAAAGAAATCTCTTCAACACTTTCCCCCCACTCAACACGGATCACCCAGAACAGGGATCACCAGGGCTCTGCCCAATAGGGGTCACTGGGGATCATCCAACACTGATCCTCCTATGGGGGATGCAGATACAGCAGCGAACGAAGTGCTTCCTGCATTCGGGGCACTCGCAGGGCTTCCCTTACCGGTGCCTCCGTAGGTGTTGGGTCAAGTTAGAGCTCCTGGAGAACCTCTTCCCACACTCCGGACACTCGTAGGCCTTCTCCCCAGAGTGGATGAGCTGGTGGTTTCTCAGGGCAGAGCTCCACCCAAAGCTCTTTCCACATTCCAAGCACTCATAGGCTTGTTTCCCAGTATGGATCACCTGGTGCTGGATCAGGCTGGAGCTCCAGCTGAAGCTCTTCCCACATTTCCCACACTGGTAGGGCTTTTCTCCAGTGTGGATCCTCTGGTGTTCCCTCAACTGGGAGCTCCGTACAAAGCCCTTCCCACATTCTCCACACTCATAGGGCTTCTCCCCAGTGTGGATCTTCTGGTGCTGGCTCAGGTGGGAGCTCTGGCTGAAGCCTTTCCCACATTCCCCACACTCATAGGGCCGTTCCCCCGCGTGAATGTTCTTGTGTTCCCTCAGATGGGAAGTCCGGCTGAAGCCCTTCCCACATTCCAAGCACTTGTGGGGCTTCTCCTCGCCCTGAGGCTTCTCCACCAGCTCTGAGCTCTGGCTGGATCTCTGGCCACCTTCATGGGATTGGGAGGGTCTTTCCTCCTTCCCTGGGCTGGGTTTGCAGGCCCCCTTCGTGTCCGATCTCTGGGGCTTTTCCTCTTCCTCCATCTGGCCACGCCTTGGGAATGAAAAATCCTGGTTTGGGGGGAAATACAAAAAGTGAGCACCTTGGGCTTGGGGGGGTTCCTCCTTCCCCAACTCTATCTCAGGAAGTCTACAATGATTTTATATCCATAAAAAAATCCCAAGCCACCACAATTCAGCACAAAAGTCCCTCCCTGGAGTTCCCCCTCTCTGATCTCTCCACTTTGGGGTTCTGGAGGGGGTCTCCCTTCCCTGGGCTAATGGGTTCTGTGGCTCCTCAGATTCGCCCTCTCTGGAGTTGTAGTGGGTTGAGCCCAAGGGATGGGTTCCACTTAGGGATGATCCTAAGGGATTTTGGGTGTCTCAGGGGTCCCTTCTCCCCTCACTCTCTGCTCCAGTGTTCTAGGGATCCCAGGGGGTCTCCCTTATCTAGGCTCCCCCCCTTCTCCAGGCTGCTGGGGGTCCCCCAGCTCCGGGATCACCCCTGTCACCTCACCCCACCCCTGTTCTCCTGGTGTTGCCCTCCACTTCTCTCCCAGGGGAGCTCCTGGCACCAGGTGATTGCCATATGCAGACCCCAAAATATCCCCAAAAGGGGCATTTGCAGCTCAGCTTTGGGGTTCTGCAAGATGCAAACATCCTGCCTTCCATGTCTCCCAAAATGAAACCCTCCCAGGGTCCCACAAAGATATTAGGGTCTTGATTCTGGAAGCTGAGAGCTCCAAACACCCCCTGAGGAAAAACACCGCTTGGGGATCCCCCAAGAGATCTGGGGCAAGCTCCCCCTACTTGCTCACTTGAGGGACGGGGGGAATGATGCTCCCGGATCCACAGTGGACAGAGTGGGCACTGAGTCCCCACTTCTCCACTGCTCCTCCTTTTTGTGCTCCTCCTCTTCCTCTCTCCCTCCTCTCCACCCCCCCCCAGCTCCTCCTCCATTGCTCCTCCTCTTTCCTCAACCAGCCTCCTGCTCCTTCCTCTGCCCTCCTCCATCCCTTCTCCCACTCCTTCCTCATCCCTCCTCCATCCATTCTCCAACTCCCCAGGCGTGCTGAGGCGAGGGGGGAGTGCAGGTGGGGTCAGAGCAGGTGAAAACGCTGGCAGCATCTTCGGGGCACAGGCAGTGGCTGAGGGCTCCTCCCCCACTTCATTTTCTCTCTCCAGTTCACATCATCCCCTCCCATTCAAATCCCCTCCATTCACATTTTCTCCCCAAAAATAAAATTTCCTTGCCCCCATTATACTTTTCTTCCCAATTAGGTTCTGAGCCCACTCCCCACTGAGATGGGGAACATACATGGCTATGAAAATTCAGAATTTTAGAATCCTATAATGTGCTTAAACAGGTGATAGGGAAATAGAACACAGCAGAAACAATTAGTAATAAACCACATAGGAATTTACAATAATTTAGATTTTTAAAACCATCTAAAATCAAATGGTAAAAACCATTAAGATATATTAATGTGAATTATATATTATATAATTATGTGAAAACTCAGCAAAGCAAGACTTAGGTATTGTGAAAACCCAACAAAGAAGAACCCATGGCTCCAGAAACCAGCCAGGACCAGACTCATGGTTTTGGTCCAGGCAAGCTGACCTGGGAGAGAGCGAAACCTCCACTGTGCTTGCCCAGAAGTGAAGGTCAAACAGCGAACACTGAGGTAGACTTCTGGCCTTCCTCCCAAGACCCCAGTCCATGACTACCAGGAGGCGTGGCAGTAATTATAATACAAAGTGAGAGAAGGTAGAGAATGGGTGGGCAGGAAGGTGTGGGTTTGTGGGATCAATGTATATTTATACCAAACCTGTCTTGACCAGGTATGCATGTATGGTGGATGATCCCCCATGCACCCCTGATGCTGTCAGCTAATGGAAATAAAACTGTTTCAGTTGCAAAGTCCTAATTCTGCAAACCACTGCCCCCAGCTCCTCCCAGCAGGACCTGGCCAGGACCTTCTGAAAACAGGAGTGGAAAGAGTTAAAAAATTCATCATTATTTTCTTGGTTTCTGGAGGATTTTCCTGTGGCTTTCCTGCAGAAAGCCCTTCCTTTCCAGGCAATGGCTGAGAGGTCCCCTTGGGCTCCATCCCCTTTCCAGTCTCTTTTTCCAGCTCTTTTCCTCAGCTGATCCAAACCTGTGGATTTTAGGGGGTGGGAGGGGTCATTGCTCAGGGGTCTTGGAGGTGCTCCCAGGGAGGCCTTGAAGCCCCAGCATGGTTCCCTCCAGCCCCTCGGAACATTTGGAATCTCAAACTCAGCCATCGCTGTCCATGGGATTCAATCCCCCCTGCAGGGTTTTCCCCCAGACCAACTTTATTTACAGAGGGTTTTGTGGTTTCCCTTCAAGCCAGGGCCTAACAGCACCGGAGTGGTCACAGCTGACAGAGCAGGAAGGGCTGTGGGACAGAACCTCCCCACAAACCTCCAGGAGGGGAACAAAGGCTAGGGGGGGAGTAGAGAATAAACATGGAATTATAGAAAAAGGAAAAAAAAATAAAATATGTATGATATCTAAAATAAAAAATAAAAATTAATAAATTAAAATAATGGCAGAGCTACTTCTCCTGGTACTTTGGGTTTCTTCTCCAAGTTCTGAGCTGGTTTTGAACCAGAAACCAGTGGGTGGGATAGACATTGTTGATGAAGGGCTTCACATTGCCAAAACTAAAGTGTAGAGTATCAAGTAACATCTTGAGGTTACGGAAGTCCCAGCAACCACACTAGATTCCCTTGTTTGAAGCTGAAGGCAGAGCTCCACTTGTGACTCTGCTTTGTAACGATGAATATAAAAGTTCAACACAACTCCCAGTTCCATCCCTCCTCTGCCCAGCATTGGGGGAGAAGGGATGGGAATTATGGTCAGTTCGTGCTGCTGCTTCCCCCTCAGGGACACGAATCCTTGCCCTGCTCCAAGGTGTGGGGTCCCTTCCATGGGGTCAGTCCCTGCTCTGTCCAGCGAGAGTCCCTCCCCATCTCTTGGTCACCCCTTGGCCCGGCTCTGAGGTGTGTGGCAGTTGTGTGGCAGTCACACTCCAGCCCCGTCAGTGGCACCACCAGTTTGTCCTGGAGTTACTCTACCAGACGGATGAGGTGGAATGAGAGGAGAGACTAAAATGCAGAAAAGAGACTAAAATGCAATCAAAGAGCCATACTAAGGGCGTCTCCCTCATCCACATCTGAATGAGCTGCACCAAACAATGGGTGGGGTTGTTCTGCATTCTGCAGCTGCAGGATCGAGTCCAGAGAGGTTATATGGATTCTGGTGACTGACATGACAATGAGATGCGTCTCTGCTTGGTTAAGCTCAGGAAACCATTTATTCAACACAGTAACAAACTCAGATTAAATCCAGAGACAGAGAACCCAGAACAGAGACAGGGTGGAGTTTAGGGTTGGGGACTAATAGGGACATAGCAAGGGAGAAACCTCAGGGGCTCAGACCCAATCAGAACACCCTGGGCTAACACCCCATGAGGGGTCTGCGTGTGAGGCAACTCCTCCCAGGCTTACAGGGCACATTCTCAGAGGCAGAGGGTGGAATTTATTTTTCCCAGCGTTAAAGCCATACCTCTCATTTTAACACTGCTTATCTAAAACTAAATATTTGCCTCCCTGGGTGGGGGTTGAATAGCACAAAATACAGAGAATGGAGTAAAATAGAATAAAGAAATTCCACTGGGGGCTCCTGGCGACCGATGTCATTGAAGAGCCGCACCACAGGACGGGCGCTGTCGTGTGTGGCAGGAAGGGCAGCACCGAGGCAGGTGGCAGGTGTGAACAGAATTAAACATAGAAAATAGAATAAAATACAAGAAAAGAGCCACACCAAGGGTTCCACATGGAAGAGCTGCACCAAGAGCAGCGAGAAGTGGTGGCAGTAGACAGTAGAATAAAAAATAACAAAATACCCGCAATGGCAGTAGGTGCTACCTGACACTAAAAAAGCAGCACCGAGGTCGTCTTGGGGCAGCATTGGGGGCTCTTGGCCACCCCGTGTCACTGAAGGAGCTGAAAGGAGGGACGGGTGGGGCACGTCCTGGATCGAGCCCCTCCAGCTGCGCAACCAGCAGCAAGCCTGCGGGACCACGTTGGGGCCAAGTGGCAGCAGCAGCTGGAGCCAGGGAAGCAGCTTCAAGCAGCGGAAATGAGCAGGGCATTCCCAACCAGCTCTGCTCAGCCCTCAGGCACTGGGGGAGTTCCAGGAGTTGTTCCCAACCAGGTCCACTCAGCACTTGGGCACCGGGGGGCGGGGGTTGTGAGGCTGTTCCAAACCAGCTCCATTCAGCCCTCAGGCACCAGGGAGGGTTCTGGGGTTGTTCCCAAGCAGGTCCACTCAACCGCTGGGCACCCGCTGGGGCTGCCGCAAACTTTTCAGCTCTGGCCACCCACACAGGCCGGGCCCCCACAAGTCCCGCTGCCACCACCTCAGTCCTGCAAAGCCCAGAAACCCTGGGAAATCGGTCCCAGGCATGAAATAGCCCTTCTGTGTGCAGCGAGGGCTGTGTGGGATGGTCCTTATGAACTCCTCTTCCATCTGTCCCTCCTGAGCATTGCCAGGCATTAGCGCAGCTCCCAAGGCTGTCCCAGCACCGGCTGCTGCCACAGGGCACTGGCTTGCTGCCTTGGATATTCAAACCAACAAATGTGGGGAGGGGGACAGCCCTAGAAACCAGAAATTTGCCCTCAGGAGCCTGGAGCTGCACCAGTGGGATAAAGGATCCCCTGCACACACCGATGCCCCCAGCAGTGGCTCTGCTCTGCCAAGAACGGGGCTGTGTTTGGGAGAGGTAGGATGGCTGGGATGGGATCTGCAATGAGACAGCAACACGTTGGGAGAAAGATCTTGGGGCAATCTGGTTACTGCAGAGGTTTTTGGGGCACCGAGAGATGAGTTACTGGGAGTGGGGAGACACCTGGCTCTTACACTGGAGTGGAGCCTCACAGGGAAGGACGTGGGGAGCCCATATTAAGGACGATTCTGCTGTTTTCCGCCAGTTCTCAGGGGTTATAAATGGCTTTGGGGGAATTCCTGGTCAGTTTATGTGTGGAGATGAGCCCTTTTTTGGAGTGAGACAGCTCTGTCTGGCTTTCCCCACCCTGTTGTGGCCTCTCAGCTACTTCCAACACCTTGGGGCACTGGGATTTTCCTCCAAGGGACAAGGGCATTCATTCCCTTCCAGGAGCCCAATGCCCGGCTGGGGCTCCAGGCCAGGGGGTCCTTGAGCAGCTGCCCCAGAACCTCTGCCAGGGGCTCCCAACGCAGCCGCAGCCGCTCGGCCTGGGCTCCCCAAAGCCCTCAGCAAGCCCAAAGTCCCTGCCAGGAACCCTCAACTCCCTCAAACACAGCATCCCCCACAGCCCCTGCCAGTTCCCCCCATGGCAATGGCCATGGCCATGTCCCCACATGTCACTGGCCATGTCCCACCCACGGCTGTGTCCCCACTGTGTTTTCAACCCTGTCATTGTTCCCCACATCTCCATCCATGCCCAATGTCCATGTGTCCCCATGTCACTCTCCATGTCTGTTCCACCATGTCCTCACCCACGTCTCAGCTCAATGCCTATTTTTACCCCAAAGCTGGATATTCTAAAGGGATGAAGAGAAATGAAAAGGAAATCAAGGCCATAAGAAAAGGATTTTGATGTCCATGCCAGCTGAGGATCCACGTGCTTGGGTCTGAGGGAAGAACCTTTTTTGGAGGGGTTTCCACCCCACTGTCTCCAAAATCTTGGTCTTTGCCCCAGTCCATCACCATCTGGTTGTGGAAGCTGCCCTTGGATCATAGAATACCAAAACTATGGAATCCCTGAGGTTGGAAAAGACCTCCAAGATCATCCAGTATTCCTTGATACCACCAGAAGATAGGACTGAACACAAAAGATTTTTTGGGATTGGAAGTTAACAAATCCGCTCTCCCCAGTGAATTTCCAATGTTGTTTTGTGTCCTGATGGATGTTCCTGCCCCTCCATTCATCCAGGAGCCCACAGGGAGATAGGAAGATGTGAAGCATCCCAGCCAGGTGTCCTCCCAACATGCATCACCAGGGCTCTGCCCAACAGGGGTCACAGGGGATCATCCAACACTGATCCTCCCATGGGGGATGGAGCTGGAGCAGCACATGAAGCTCTTCCCACACTCAGGGCACTCACAGAGCTTCCTTTAGTGGTGCTCCACTGGTGTTGGGTCAAGTGAGAGCTGTTTGAGAAGCTCTTCCCACACTGGGGACACTGGTAGGGCCTCTCCATGGTGAGGATGCACTGGTGGACAGTGAGGTGAGAGTTTTGCTTGAAGCCCTTCTTGTAGTCAGGGCAGTGGAAGGGCCTCTCCTCTGTGTGAATCTGCTCATATTTGAGGAGAGTGGAGTTTGTCTGAAATTTCTTCCCACACCGGGGACACTCATAGGGCTGATCCCCCGTGTGGATCACCTGGTACTGGATCAGGTTGGAACTCTTTCTGAAGCCCTTTCCACATTCCAAGCACTTGTGGAGCTTCTCCCCACCATGAGGCTTCTCAAACAGCTCCAAGCTCTGACTGAATCTCTGGCAACCTTTCTAGCATATGGGGG